ATTTATTTAATTTATTTTTTTATTTTTTTTAACCAAATGTGAAAAAAATCACCATCTCAGCATCTATAAATTTCACTTGAGCATTTAATACTGATGACTGGTACGTTAAAATTAATACAATGGAATGGACGTGAGCAAAATCCCCAACTGTCGGAAGGCTGAAAGAGCCAGGAAGTATTAACGGCATTAAAATGATTCTTATGTTTGTTGCTAAACGCAGGCTCACATTACGGATAAGAACAGTCTCACACTAACAAGTTGCACATCAGCTTGCCAAGATATTTTTAGGACTGGCTTGAAGTCTGAAGACAACTGCAGGAGCGTGTTATACAGGCATTTGGTCTGTCTCCTTTGCTAAGACAGAATGACAGTATTGTATAACAAACTCAAGCAACTGTCCTTCCTTTCAACAAAGCTGTTTATGCCTTCAGTAATTTACTGGGCTTACTAAAATTATAAACTAGTTCATTTTATCTCCTAATTGTTAGCCACCTATACTTTTTGTTCTTTACGTTTTTTGCCATCAAAAACACTAAGTTCAAAAGGTTGCAGTACTAAAACACTAAATTCTTGATAATTTAAATAAAAAAATAAAATTAGATTTAAGCTTCGTAACCAGAATGAGTTATGACTTTGTCAAGTTTATAAGGAGGTTTTGATAGGTTCTTGATGCTCCTGAGCTGGTGACACCTGATGCACCTTTAATCCTTCTCAGACACAACGACCCTTAACTCTCCTGAAGGGAGTGATTTAAGCTGCTTGTGAATCTAGTTTACATAACAAAGCATCTAATGCAGTTTAAAAACATGGAACTCCACTCTCCAGTTTTTATTAAAATGAGATATCTCCTCTGATATAGCACCTTTATTTTGGCCAAAATCATCAGAGTAATTCCTATATATTTATTTAAAAAATTTCACACATTTTGTATATTTTTTTAAATTTGTAAAATTTTTACATTTACAAATAATTCAGTTCTAATTAACATTTTTTTTTTATCCTTAAGTATTTTTTTTTTTTTTTTTGTAATTGTGTTATTTTTTCAGTACAGACAATTTTCAGTTGTTTTTGTTTTTTTTATTTTGTACATTCCCCGTGTTAATGTAACAATGAGAAATTTCCTGCTAGGAGACAAAACTAACTTATATTCTCATCTATTTTATAATCCACAAAATAGTAATAATGTCTTGTGAAAAATGAATAAAAGCTTTGCTCTTTAGGCCAAACAAAAATCATCTTTACTCAAACACAGCAAGCAAGTCTATATTATGATAATGTTATGAATCAGCATGCTGAACATAAGCTGTTTGTGTTAAATTAAAAAAAGTGACATTTGATCATTTTTGAAAAAAATACACATTTTTCCATGTTAGCTTATCTAATGATCACACGACATAATGCACTATCAAAGACATCAAAACAAGTAAGAAAAGTTCCGATTCATTTTTCATTTTACAATAAACTCTTGGTTGTAATTGTGAATTCAGTCTTCATTCACTTTTATAGTAAGTGGTAAAGTCCTGGCATGGCTAACATTTTGTTTACTGGCACCGAACTTATTTTGGGTGTCGTCCCAACCTAGAAGGCAACTGTTCTTCTTCTCCATTCCAAGATGACATATAATCTCTCCTCAGCCTCTATGGAATGATTCCCAGCCCTATTTCATTTCAGACAGCTGAGAGGTTCATCTCCCGTACAACTGTAATTGACTTTCACGTTTCTTCAGAACCACAGCCAAAATGATTGTGATATATTCATGGTTTTTTTTTTATTACTGTACCTCAATGTAGAGGATTATAAAAGATACATTTCTTAATGAAACGTGTAGATAATACACATTCATGTGTAATGAAAAAGCATAACCCCATCAATCCATTTCCTGTACTCGCTCTGTGCTGTTCAAGGAGACAGGTGGGCTGCAAAAAAATATGCCCCAGCTGTTTTCAGGTCAAAGGCAGGGTACACTCTGTACATGTCTGAACAGGCTCGTCTTCTCAAACCTCTGCGCCACCACTCCCCCTATCTGATGCTGAAGTAACAAGACGTACAAATATAAACATGGATTATACTGAACCAAGATGTGCTCCTTAAGGGCTCCAATATAAATGACTGAAAATGTACTTCCTTAAAGCTTCAATAAATGTTCAAAACATTTTCTTATATTTTACTTCTTGCGGTTATTTGTTTCCCAGTGTAAAAATGACAAAATATTTTCAGCATAAACCTAAACACAAATATACATTTTTGCTTATACCATCGCTGTAACTTTTTGCAATTACCCATGTCAGATCTTTTTCATCCTTTGTTGCAGCCAGTTAATTTATTTACAGTAATAACATGAAATCAGGTTCATTTTGTTTGAATGGTAATACCATGCAGTGCTTTTTTCATATTTTAGTAGTTTGTCAGACATGTTGTTTATTGCAAATTAATCAAATGTCAATTTTTTGATAGCAGAAAAAGTACTTTTATTTTCATCTACATACATTACAGCTAGAAAAAAAGAGCAGCAAACTCTGATTGCCAGAGCTCAGAAGACAAGTTACAATACACACTATATACTGTATACATAACATTAATCCACCAATTTATTACTTAATTCCATCAGGATCTTTTTTGTGGATATTTAATAACAAACATCTAATTATTTTCCAAGTTAATACTGACTTATTACATTATCTAGTCGACATTTGATGCACAATGTACAAAGTTTGCAAATATTTACTTTGAAATACAATTCTTCTTATCTTTCTTCCCAGCTCCCTTCCCCTTTCCTTGCTCTGTCTTTTCCTTTACTTTTCCAAGAAATCCTTTACATTTTTCTCCATGACCGTTTCCTTTTTGCGTCTGAGCTGAGTGAAGAATCTTTTCATTTGAGGAGGAAGAGCAATCTTCAACTGGACTGGCAGCGTGGGTCAAAAGCTTCCCTTTGTCATCTGAGCATGAAGTTACATGATGTGTTTCATCACGATAAGGAGATGATGGCCGTGAATGAGCTTTCCTGGGACTTGCATGACTTGGAGAGCACTGTCTGGAATTAGCATCTTTTTTAGGAACAAGATTCAAGTCTAAGGATAGGGGTCTACCAAATACTGGGCTCAGGGGAATTATAACATTATCTCCTGGAGCACCAAGAGTTAAAAAGACTTCTGGAACCTGAAAGTCATTTTTCAGTCCCTGAAAACAAACAAACAAAAAAAAAAAGCATTTCAAAAATAAATTATTTTATTTTCAAGAATTCAGCAAGACTAAAACTTTCATTTTACTGATAAAGAACTTACTGGCTGTGGTGTTATGCTCACTGATACTTTCAGTGTCATCTGTGTAAAAAAACACAAATAAAATAAAATAAGTTAGAAAAAAAGATTATTATACTCATAGAATTGGCCAATGGCAGCTATTGTTATGGAGGCCTTCTGCAAACTTTGTCAGACTAGACTCACTCAAAGCAAAAAAAGCAATATGCCTTATAAAGTGAACTTACTAATTTATCTTAAAAACTGTGCTGTTAAAGGAAGTAGTGTTCAAAATGACCTATGCATTGAATCATTTTCATTATCATTCATCACTATCAGACCAGATTGTGCTTTCACTGTACATTTCTAATCAAACAACTTGTGCATCTGTTTTGTTTACCTGTGCTGATGAGTCTTGATCTTTTTGAAATTCTGTCTCAGGAGTAAACGAGGCCGATTTGGGAAGGGTCAAGGCAGGAGCAGAATCTGTACAAGACACCTGGAGCTGAGAGGTATGTCTGCAATCGTCCTTCCTCAATGTGGCAGGTGTTCCTTCATTCACCATGATAAGCGGTGGTGAGACCTAGGAAAAAAAACAGTTAAATAAGGGTTACAACGTTTTCAACTATGTAACTTCAACAGTCACCATTAAAACTGTGGTTTAATAAAACATGCAAACAGAGTAAAATTGTTTATTGGGCAAATATGTTACAATCAACATGCCTTTTCTTCTTTGCCTTTTTCTTTATTGACAAAACATAATTTTTACTTATTAAACAAATTTCTAATTTGGAGCAGCAAATGTGAGTTTGTGAAAATATGAGATGCAAACCACTTTTCTCTATTATCCAAAATAAATTTGCAACTTATTGAGATATCAGCATTTGCATTTCTGGCAATTTCAGCCACTCCAAATGTTCTACCTACCTCTGGTTGAGTTGGAGATGCAATGTGCTGATCATCAATTGGTTTGGCCTGATTAGAAGAGACAATATTGACAAATGCATCAGCTCCTGTCCCTGTTAAAAAATAAATAACGGTGTTTAATGACATCTCAGAAAAATAAATCAGAGGTGTTTGTGTGTTTTTCTGACCTATGGAAGCCAAATTTAAAGCCCCTCCATTGTGTATTGGTGTGGCAGATGTACTGGGTTGTAAGAAACACCGTTGTTCTTCCATACGTCTACTTTGTGCATGTCTTATCATCTCAAAGAACCGTTCCTGCTCGTCTACCGATAAGTCCTTAAAGAAAGAAGACTGAGCTTATCTATTGTTACAGACATCTGTTTAATGGCCTAAATAAAGAGAATGAAATAGGAAAATTATAGGTCAAACTATATAAGTATAATGTATGGAAGTGCACCTGACCTGCCATTGTTTGTCAGTTTTTAAAAAGGCTGGCTCCTGGTCAGGTTTATCTGTGTCTAACGTGAAGTCTTTGCGTTGGGGAGAGGGAGTGCACAGATTTTTGAGGACTTCTGGTGCATTACATCTCTGTTCATCCATTCTTGAACCCTGTGAGGACAAAAGTTCCCGAGGTTCTTGTTAAGATTGTGGAGAAATAAAAATGTCAAAATCTCACAAAAGTGAAGCAGATAGACTATTTTTCATTTATGGCCAACCTGGAGTCTAGAAACCAAGTAACACAAGTAGCGAGCATCCCTCTCAGCAGCAGATAATGGTGTTGTGGTTCCGCCGTTCTGTATTCCTGGTAATGAAGGGAGAAACATTCGCTGGTCGTCAAGCCGGCGGCCCTGAAAGTTTGCCAGCAAGGCGAAGAGCTTTTCTGCATCTAAACAATGTATGGGAGAAAATATACATATGATTAAAAACATACATGGCTATAATTTTAATGTCAGACGTGAAACAAAACAAAAATATCCAAAGATGCTTATAACCTGGGGGTAATGTGCTCAGATTGAGCTGGTCTTTGGGTATATCTTGGGGATTTAACACACATCGCTGTTCATCCATTCGCCCTCGTTGGAAATGACTCATTAAAGTTAAAAGTTCTTCAATTTCAGCTGAAGTGAATTCCTAGATAGAAAGTTTATAAACGGTACAAATTTAGGCGAGTAAAAATAGATGTTGGACATGACTGTTGCAGTTAAAAATGGCAACAGTATCTTGAACACAAACCTTTTTAGAAGATGCTTTACTGTTCTTTAGTTGTTCTAAATCTGAGCTTCCACTGAAGGAGGCTGAGCGAACAAGGCCAATACCAGAAGAGGACTTTTTAAGTTTTGGTGAATGCTCGGGAGTTTGAATTTGAGGTAGAAAACACCTTTGGTCTTCCATTCTGGAGCCCTGAAACGCAAAGGAGTGATTTCAACAGAATGCAATTTTCTGATTTGTAGCCACAGTAAAATAAATGGTCAATTGTTTTAAATTAACTCCAAATTTTAAAATAAAGAAACAAAATTGACAAAGGTTTTTTTTTTATTTATTATGTTTTTATAGATTGATATTACTCAACCACAATTTGGGTAATATTCAGCTAAGATTCTGAAGGTCCAATTTATTTTAATGGCATGAGAATTTTTTTATTTTTTTTAAGTTGAATAAATGCACCAACCTGAACTTTAGAGACCAAATAACACAAGTAGCTTGTGTCTCCATTAGAAGTGCTGTTTTCATTCTGTAATCCTGGCAATGATGGAAGAAACAGTCGCTGGTCATCGAGCCTTCGGCTTTGAGTGAGGGCCAAAAAGTTGAAGAAAATTTCAGGATCTGGAAAAGAGATGAGCTTTAAACTAAATCACACAAGTGTTTGATAATATATTGACTGACAGAACTATTTAAGTGTTAACAGTTTCACATACCTATGTTTATGGTTGGATTGTCTGTGTCTTCAGGTGAGCAGGGATCATTTTTACTGGGATCCACTATACATGGCTGCTCTTCATTATGTCCATGCTGATCATCAGCAGTCATATTTATGGACTTTTGCTGTTCCTCAGGTGGTTCTTCCTTTATTGACAAAAAAGATAAGGCAAGTAAGGTAAAGATGAACAGTAATTATGCTGAAGTATTTGTAGAGGAAACAAACCAATAAAGAGTCTGAGCAGGTACGCTGAGAAGGAACTTCTAAGTGATGGTCTGGTGACAACAAATCTTTCCCGTCTCCATCTGAAGTACTCTGGGCTGCAAAATTCTGAGGATCATCATTCTCAGGTTCCTTGAAAAACAAAACAAACAACAAAAAAACATTTTGGAGTTAAGTTTTGCAACCCACCACTTGTGCTAGTGAATAAGCTTACCTTTTTTTATTATTTCTATTCAAGCATCTGGTTGTTAAAAATACCAGTAGTCATTGCAAACTAAGGTTTTCTCCAGATTTATTGATCTTATTACTATGTGGAACAGGAGTAAATACTGATGGTTCAGTCCACAAAAGGACAAGTCCAACCACACAATGTCACTGTGAGGAACTGGTTACATCCAGGATCTGCTTCATCTTTTTAAATGAAGGTACCAGTTTTGAATCTGTCAAAAATATTTATTTATTGTTGTATATTTTTTTTACCAAATTAATTTAAGACTGTTTGTGTAATAGTTAATCATATAGCAACTCTTTATCAGAGAGTCCAGAAGCCAAAAATTGAGATCACCATGTGCACCATAAATCTAACGTAAAAAACAAAAAAAAATTCAGTTGGTATAATCAACAGTTAATTACCAATATCACTGTGAAGCATAAAAATTATTAAACATTTAATTTGGCACTTTAAAAAAATACCAGCAAATACCACTACTTGAACATATTTCACCTCACCTGTACATCAGCAGCTTCTGATGACAAATCCTCTTCAGCAGATGCCATCATCAAATATAAAGGAAAAGCAATTTAAAATGTTCAAAACGGTGCACTGAGACTTAAAAAAATTATAAAAAAATTATAAACTCTTCATATGAACTGATGCGTTTCCATTATTCAAATGAACTGCGGTTTGTGAAAAGGAAATGATTCCAACTGATGCTACTCCAAATGTAAACTGGACACAACATGGCAGAGTGCTTTAAAATAAAGTTCTGAATCGTGAGCATTAACCTACTGCTTTTAAGACCCCAGCTACAGCGCTCTTCTTAATATCACGATTTGTAATCCTAGATAAAAACATAATCCTTAACATGGAGAGGGATGATCTCTTTATTTAAGGTGTACAAATTCTTCTTTTTGACCTAAAGCTTTAACAAAATATTGTTTAGTTTAAAAATCCTATCATGACTATGCTGGAAGCCCATGAGATTACCAAACTGCTTCTAATAGACTTGTGAAAATATAAAAAACACCACTCTCATAATAAATTTTCATACCCACAAATGTTAACTTCCAAACTACAAGTGGTACAGGCCAACAATATCAGTATGGTCAATCTTATGGTTGAGCAGGCTTTTAAATATCTTGTAATTTTTTATCAAATTTAAAAATGGCATCAAAGTTTAGTTTAAAAAATGCTTCACAGTTACAGAATTAAAAAAAAACTAATAATATCCCCAAGCATACACAGGTCACTTTGAGCACATGCAGAATAAAAAAAAATGGAAATAGCTGTGTTTCATTTATAATTTATTTATTGACTGGAAAAACCAACATCCACCCCACAAGTTCCCATGGTATATATTAAAGTACATAGTTTTTGTACAATTTATGAAAATATTTTAAAGACAAAAAGTTCATCAAAGCAGTTGTCACATGTGGTCCAAGAAATCAATTTCCAGATTTGACAAAACGCCTTCAAAGAAAATTATTTTATAGAGTTACTATTACATATTTATCATCATTAGAATGCCATTAAGTTACAATTTAATTAAATACATGGTCTGAGAAGATCTAGTTTTAAGTGTGTATTTAGGCAAATCAAATATATATATTTTGGTAAGCATATTTATCAAAATACTATTAATATCTACCTAAATATTTTCACTCACTTTCAATCAGCAGAACAAGAACCCCTAATTCAGACACAAAAACAATAAAAAGACCTTTCTAAAATAAAGAATCAGCAATTACCTTCAGTGATTACATATATTTCTTCATAATTCAGTTAACTTATTATGATATACAAGGCACAATACCAGTGACTACACTAATGAAAAACTACCCTGATTCAGATGTGCTATTCCTGCTTCAGGAGCACGTTTTAGAATTTGAAATTTAGTCCAAACTGTTCAAGTCATTGAGGAAGCTGGTTGGAGTCAAGATGTGAGATGACCCTGCAAAAAGAGAAAGTTTCAGTGATTGTGAAGAAAAAAGGACAATTGGCAGAGCTATATTTAAGGATCATAACTTCATAAAAACATTTACTTACCAATAACAACTTCCCATTTCCCGTCAGTGGTTCGAGTGACTTCGTAAGCAGAACGCATCTCTGAGTGTGACACCCCACCAATCACAAAGATAATAAGCCGAGGGCCAGTGCGATATTCTGACGGAGATTTATTTTTGTGCCAGTGTCCAAATCGTGCACTGCTGTAAGATATAGAAAAATGTTATTTCAAAAACTGTTAATTGGTAACAAGGAACCAAACTATCAGTTTCAGCAATTCATCAGGCCTTTCATTTGCAGTTTTATTTTTCCTGCTACGGTTATGAACATGTTACATAATGTGTATTTTAGAGTTATGCTAATCTGTCTCATAATGGTCCACAGGTCGAGTTAAAGCTATTCAACATGTCATGTTTGGTTTTAATACAAAAATCCTACATCGTAGGGTCACTATTAATATCTATTCTTCTTTAATTCTGCTCTTTGCTTAAAAGCAAGCTGATAAGCATTATGCAGATTATCTATAAAAAGGTCCAAGGTTTCTACAGGCACCATTATCATGGGAAGTTCTTTAGGGATTGCAGCACATTCATAGTAAAGCTAAATTTATTTCACCTTTCCACCCCAGCTTATTCTGTCAAAAGCTGGGCTCCAACTTAGTTACAAAGATAAAAGCTTTTACAAGACAACAGTATGCCTGCGGTGTCACTTCATATAATTTACACAAAAAATAAAAGTCCTTAAAATACAAAAAAAAATACAAAAAAAAATCTTTATAAACATTTCTGTTTCCAAAACCCACCTGACTGTAGTCTGAGTTGTGTTGATTGGTGCGGGATCAGAGATGAATGGCCACTGCTTCCTGTCGAGTTTGTCTTCAATGGCATTCTGCAAAACAAAAATCCAGATGGTGTAAAATGCTGAAACAAATTTAGGTGGTCACCAAAAAATCTGAAATTCACTTTGGCATTTTTACCTCCATGACGTCCTTGATAATGGGCGTCCACCTAGAGAGTTGGTATGTACTCTCGGTTCGCTCCTTTCGTTCAGGCAGCATTTTTCCAGCATTGGATCCCTAACAAAACCAAAAGTCAGAAAAAACATGTATGCAACAAATGGTGAGGTATGGCATTTACATTCACAGCAGTTCAATAACTTTCTTGTAACAGAGCACTAATCAAGACATTTACCCCAGCTCTAATGTTACAGCCCAGTTTTTCCATGTTGGTGATGATTTTGCTGTCTTCGCGTATGTTTGCATGTTGGATGAGCTTGGCCAGGTTCTCTTCCGTGATGCCTAAATATGACGACACATTTAAAAGCCTTTAAAACAACTCAGATGCTCTGCTATTCACAAAACAGTCATACACTAGTTTGCTTTGTAACCCATAAGAATGTTATAACTTTAATGAGATTAAAAAAAAAAAAAAAAACAATAGTGATGTAAATACAAACCTTTTTTCTTATGGAAAATGAACAGCAGTATGATGCGGATTTTGTCATAAGCCCCAATATCATTGTCGAGGAGGACAGGAACGATGCTCTTCATGGCATCCCTCAGAGGTTCTCCCTCTGCATTTGATCCCATTGCCAGGTCCTGTGCAAGACATTCCTTGTTAACTACTGGCTGCTACTGAAATATCTGCCAATCACTAGATTGGCAGCAAAATGGCATAGCAGCTAGCACACAAAAATATTTATTGGTTCAATGAATTATAGCATTGCTTGTGAGACATTGATCTGATTGTTAACTGTTTATCCTCAATTGCAGAGGAAACTCCTTCAGAGTCACATTTCCAATCCCCAAAAAAAGATCAAAATAATGAAAAATAATGGTCCTGTGGATTTTAAAAGAACAATACACACATGGATTTATTCCTGGTCGCCTAAACTATATAAAACACTTAAAACAAATGCCAGCTGAAAGCACTACAGCAGTTTGGATCACACTATCCATCTCGGAGCCAAAACATGCCTGCAGGATTAAAGAGGCAGCTTTCAGATGTGCTGACAATCCATTAGCGTGGTTGAGTGATTTACTTATAAAAAGAGCCCATTAACACTCACAACTTGTAGTTTTACAAGCATGCCATGATCATCATTGTCTGTGTGCTTGGGATTCATCTAACACAAGGCTAAATGTGGCAAAGCATGTCACCTATGTAAGCATGTCTGGCACACACAAAAAAATAACTCAAAGTTTGGCAGTGGTCTGGACTGTGGCTTCATCCCATGCTTTGTCTGGCAAACAGATTAATACATGTGGTATATGCGTATTAAATTCTTTCAACTCACAGTAATAACATACCAGCTTTCTTTACACTTTTGTAGACATATGGATGTTTGTCTGCTCCAAAGCTTCTTATGCAATATTTCCGTTATGGTTTGCAGTTAAATATCAGACAGTGTCAATAGTATGTTGATATAACCCAGAAAAGCTAAAAATAAATTTTACCATTTTTTTCCCTCAGTTAGCATCAGCGAAACATAACATTCATGATACCTGCATTATAAAAGTAATAGACTCACAGGTTGTTTTGCAAACAAAGTATAAAGAAAGAGATCCTAAAGTCAAAAATATATTAGTATTCATAGCTTGAAGTGCATATATCATGTGTCAAACTCAAGGCCCGGGGGCCAAATGTGGCCTTCGTTGACATCTTATCTGGCCCCCAAGATGTTATGTTAAATGTAAAATACTTTTATCACTTTAATTTTTTTTCCAGTAATCTTTGATTATGATGTCAAAAATGCAAGAGAACATCAAATGAGGCCAATCAAACACTTGTTGAGGAACCTGCAACCAAGAAAAGATGTTGGGTATCAAACTTGAGTTAATGTAGATTCTGAAACTGGCCCTTAGTTTGAAAAAGGTTTTAATTTTGGTCCCCTTTTGTAAGTGAGTTTGACACCCCTGGTATATAGATAATGTAATAGCCACAAGAAGAAATTAGCTTCCACAGAGCAAACAAAAATATTACATTAATTTTTGTTCATATGTAGGATCTGTTTTCTTAAAACAGTGACAATGTTGTAAAATTAAAATGTCAAATTTGGGAATATGAGTTTAAATAATCCCAAGTTTCTATAGCATGCTCCATACTGACCTGCTCCACTTCACAAACTTTATCAAGGGAGGCCTTGAATTTCTTCATACAAGCTTCTGCTAAATGCAAATGAGTAGAGTACTGTGAAGAGAAAGGGTGTAAAAAATATTGAAAAATATTTTCAAAAAACGTTTTGGTTGAAAAAATAAAAATTATAAATCAGTATTTTTCTAGCTGACACAAGTCTTTAGAATTGTAAAATGATCAATATAATATACAGATACAAAAAAATATAAAATTGTCTGTTCCTTCTTCTCACCATGCTCAGCTCCTTCTGATACTGTGGCATCTTCTTCAACATCTGAGAAAGATCCTTGATGTTGGCCTGAAAGGAAGAAAATGTTTACCAAACTTTTAACATAATATGTGGTATGTTTTTACCAAGAAAATCTGTTCTATATGGAATATCTTTAATAACACTTACGTTATCAGTGCTCATTCTCTTGCTCTCACAAAAGGTGCGAAGAAGCTCTGTCACTTTCCTGCAGCAATGGAATAACAGAGAGTAGTCACCCAATGCAAGAAAATATTTAGAGTACCTCTGTGCAACCATATTATAATCCAATTACAAAATTGCCATCAGATTTTTCTTTATTAATATGCTGCATGAATCCATACACTAAACTGTTTACAGATTCAACATAAAAAGTGATCTTAAAATTGTTATTAGCACAAATCTTTTTATAACAAATTAATGTAATTCTAATTATTTGAAACATGTAACTAAATGTTTTCTTAACTATTTATTTTTTAGTGATAAATCAAATAAAAGTGAGAATCACACACACAGCAAAACTGTTCAGAAAGTGTCATAATGTGATCCATATATATAGGTATAACTGATAAACTCACTTTGTTACATCTGCAATGTGCATATGCCTGAGCTGAACCCAGAGATCATCATCCTCATCCAATAAGACTTCTCTCTCTTTTGAATTGCCAATGCCAGTTGTTTGATAACTTAACAATAAGCACACACACAGATCATTAATATAATACATGCTTTCATCGAAAGCAACTTTATAGACAGAAACAATAACATGGTAAATAAGTAGCAGCATTTTTTTATTTGAACGTTCACATACGTATAGATGTCCTGTTTGATATCGAGCAAGTCGTAAGCCATTGCTTGTAAGGTCAGCTCGTGTAGAATAGGTGAGATGGGATCAAACCCACGATCAACAATCAGTAGTTGAGATCGTGCCTTATCTGGACCCTAAAAAAAATTAAACATAGCCATACATTTCAATTCTTAGCATCTTTTTTGAGTTTGGTTCTAAGAACTTAAACAAGACAGCACATCAAAAAAACTTGTAGTTTTGACCTCAGCAAAAATAAATATAGAGGGTTTTAGATAGCATGGCATGCTAATTTATTTGATGTATGGGAGCAAAAAGAGAGCAATAATACATGCCTGTCAAGACCCATCTCTGTAGCAAGGAATTATCAGCTAGGAAAGACAGAGAAGAAGAAGGTAAAAGAGAAAAGGTATAGCAAAGCAGAAGACAAATAAAAATAAAACCCAGAAACCACAGAAACGTCTACAACGTTTGAAAAAGAACAGCTGCAGATAACAAAAGTCTGTTCTCCGATACTGACAGGTTGGTTAACAACACAAACAAAAAATGAAAACTTTTCACTTTGACAAGCGATGGTATATATGCTACAAAGCATGTAGGACTTGTTGTGTAAAGCGGTGTTAATAAATCCTACCTCGCCCATTTTTGGGTTATCAGCTTTATGAGCAGTTAGGCGTTGGCAGACCTCATCAGCCAGTTTAGCATTTTCCTCAGGTCCCCTTAAAACCCAGAGTTACACAACATCAAATCATCATGCCCAAGTGGCAATCTTTAGTAACTTTAAATAACTTTCTTGCAATATTTTCATACTTGCGGTATCGAACTGCAGGGTACTCATTAAGCGTGTCACACAGTGTTGCAATCTGTTCTGCCAAAACCTCTATCATTTTGTTTCTACCTTCATTTGTCTTAGAACTGTAGAATGAGTACAATGAAGCTGGGTCATCCAGAGAAAACACCTACATGGATGAAAGGGATCAAAGTTCACCTCCATTAGTCACTTTTATAATAAACAATCATGATGCACACATTAGTGGAAAAAAAGCCTGTTTCACTAAGAACATTTCTTGAATTTTGTAAAGAAGAACATTTTCTTACCTGAGACTCGTATGGTAGAAAAGCAACATTGATTTCTTTTAAAGTCTTGGCAACCTTAGCCACTCTGGATTTCCCAATTTCAGTAAAGAGATCATCAGGGCAGGCTATGGAAAACAGAAATGCAAAGTTAATTGATGGTTAATTTTTTTTATGTTTTCTAAATGTTGCAGTTTAAGGTCTTTTTATAGTGTATCTAAAGTTAGCTCTTGATAAGTCTTTTTGTATTTACAAATGCTTTTAACTTACTGTCAGTGAAGAAGACATGCGCTGCCTTGTATGTAAACGTTGCATCTTTGAAGTCAGAAATGAGGGCATGAACTGACTGTAATTGAACATAAATAATAAAAACTAATGCAATATTGACTAAATTAACTAAAATACAATCATAAATCTAACAATAGAAAAATAAACTGACAAACAATAACAAGTAACCTTTTCCACTGGTGTGATCAAATAAATGGCCTCCAAACTAGAAATTGGCTCCCTGCGTTTATTGATGTCTTCCACAACTAGAAAACATAAAAGAATAAATTTTTAATTAGAATTATCTGATCAAGAACCATTGCAAACAGCAATGTTTTTGTCATAAACATCATGAAAGAAGGATTAGAACAATATTATTTAAGGCATGCATAAAAAAGTAGTGCATGGTGGCAGGAATAACAAAACTGTTCAGAACACCAAGAAAATTATATTAAAATTCCCAAGGCATAATAAAAAAAAATGTTTTTGCTTTAATTCTGTAACATCCTTATATTTATTAGCTTCTATTACTTAATAAAAGAAAAAGAAAAACAAGTGTTGAGGACAAGTGCATAACAAAACATTAAAAATATATCACTGTAAACATGTGATATATTGATACATACAATATACATATAATAATATGCATATAATACATCCCACATGTGATGTGTGATGTACTATTAAAGTCTCATTTAAATAACTTTTTAAAAAACATGTATAACAAAGTTTTTCATAAAAAACTGAAATATAAAGAAAATATACCAAAACGACAACAACAGTGATGTTAAATAAATGTACATATAAAAACACCAGATACAAGCATGTAAACATACTGGTCACCCCCTCAGCCAAAATGTCAGACATCTTGCAGCAGGAGGACAGGATCCGCATGCTCATGTGATCCACAATTAAAACCTATAGAATGACATAAAAAAACACTAAAAATTTCTGCTTGAAATAGATGAGGGGGGGGGGGTTAATGAGCAACTTACCTTCCACTCTCCATCTTTCTTTACACTCTTGATGACCCCATTGAGG